TGGAGCCATAAAAATGTAATGCATGCAGAAAGTGGCTTGGTAATGTCATCTCAATAAAACATCACAGATGTGTAAGATACCCATGCTGCGTGCGCTAATGCACCCTCACCTTTATTTATTTATTTTTTTACTTTACAATAATCCAAAGAAACTAGATACTATGGTGTGTGTGTGTGTGTGTAATGCTGAAAGTGTTGAAGGTAAAGTCTGTGTATTTCCAAAGGTTTCCACACGATGGCGCTTTTAGCTAAGTTTTCCATACACTTCTGTGGAAGAAAGGAAGTTTGAGATACACCTTTTCTGTATCTTTTATGTGCACCAACTCGTTTTTTTTATGTGTGCTTTATTTATTGTCCTTTGCGAATGTGAATTCTCATTTATAGTTTGTCGAGGTTTAAAGTTGCAGGCGGCTGCCAACTCTATTTGATTTTATGCATTTGTTTCAATGAGCTCCTAAAAACATTTAAGGACTGAAATGTGTAGCTTTGCATGTGTGGTTAGGTGGGTGCTCTTTATGTAAGTGCTGTGTGGGGGATCAGGAGTATGGATTATTTCACCCTGGGTCGTATTCAGAGAGGCCAGCCAAGCGTGAGGCAGACAGGAGAAAGGGGGCATTGTTGAGGTCTAGATGAGTGTCAGAGGTGCCTCAGAAAATAGAATCACTCTTGGAGGTTTAACAGAAACATACTTGCAACAACCCCCTGACCCTTCAGATGTCTGACCGTGGCTGAACCCCTCTTTACAACAGTATATAAATGTATCAATTAACATAGCATTTGTATGTGGCTTATGTTAACTGATTGGTAGCGCACTAACTGCAAGTAAACCACAAAGAAACTGCAAAAATTTTAATTAAAAGTAAAAAACAAAAAGTAAAAGAGGAAGAAACAAAAAAGTGGATTTGATCTGGTTTGAATAATAAGTTTATGTGAAAGGGGAAATTCCTGAAGGCTGATTTTGTTTACCTTGAGCATTAGGTGGCTGAGGTTTATCAAGTAAGGTGGTGGTGATAATATCAGTTTTCAAAACCTTGGGACTTTCTGGCACCTTGTTCATTTATCTATCTGTCTAGTATTCAGTCTAGGTAAAACAATTTACGTGGATTATGTGGACGCACATTTGTCTAAGCCGTTCTGTCTCTGTCCTTATCTCTCACTGGCTTGGATTTGCACAAACCATCTGAACACAAACTCTGGATTTGTCTGCATATGCCTTCAGAGAGGCCGCTATCATCACAGCTCATAAAGCAAGAAAAAGTTTCATGAAAATGTTTCCCAAATGTGATTTATTCTCAAAATGCGGGCATAAATAGGCTCTCTGTCACTGAAGAAAAAGGAAAGTTACGAGGCAGTGGCTCACGCATGCCTTCAGTCCTTAGGGCCTTGGAGGGTTCAGGGTCTTTGACACACAGAATTCCTACACTATTTATGGCACCTCATTGGTGTAAATGGGCCAGAAATATATGGCCATTTTTAGACATAGGACCCATTTTTCAGAGGCTAACATGTAATTAGACAATTCACAGCAAAAGGGGCAATTTCTCTCATTATTCCATGACAAATTAGGAAGATAAAAGAAATGGAGGTGATTCCACATATTGAACTTGCATTTCATGGCTATGAATGAATGAATGAATGAATGAACACCAGCACAGCAACACCAGAAGGACTGAAATACCTCAGACGTGGATGATGACAGAATTATTTCCATGGTTAAGGAGAACTGCTTCACAACAAATCAAGAACGCTTTATAGGAGGTAGACATATCATAGTTTACGATCTAGAGAAGGCTTCATGAACGGAAAGAGGTCTGCAAAGAGGTTAAAACAGCTGTTGATTATGTGAACGATGAATTGTGACATGTACAGAGTTATACTCTCTGCTCACATTCAGCTAAATGCTACAAAACAGAACACAACTCTTCACATTGCAAAT